TTAAATGTCGGCCGACATGTCGGTTTGAGGGCTTGAGCGACACGACATGAGCGTTTTCAACTCGTATGTCGGTTTTCAGGGCCAAATCAAAAATATCGGGGCCATATCGGGCATATCGGTCGTTTTTCTGCTTTGAAAAATCGGTCGTTTTTCTGCTTTGAAAAATCGGCCGATATGGCTTTTTTTTAGATCTATTTTTTGTTATCGGGTTTGGGTTTAACGATAAAAACACATACTCGTTTGACCCGTTCTCATGTTTAAGGGTTTCTTATGAACCCGATAGAAAAAAAAGAGAAATTAGAGCTGCAGCGGACTTAGGAACCCATCACTCCTTTCGTGAACGACGACGTCCTTCCCCCACCTTCATCTCGGCCCCCCGTCGTCCATCTCCCGTTACGTCCCAAAATCCGAACCCTAACCGAACCCGAGGGCGATAGTGTATCCTGTCGTCAGAAGAAAGGAAAGAGGGTGATCGGTGACTTATCCGAAGGATCCTGAGCAGATGAAGAAGAAAAGCCCCGGCACTACCTCCCTGCGACGTCGGAATCCACCCATCGCCGGCGTCGCCTTTAGAATTTATAAAGTATGCTTATATTGAATTTAGAAATGCTTAGATTACATTTAGGATATGATGTTATACATATGCGCACCACCCGATATGACAATCTGATATTTAGTCCATGTACCCCGATATATCCCCGATTTTCGCTATCCGACATGGATTTCAGCCATCCGACATAAACCTAACATCCGATATTTAAAACCTTGTATATATATACACACACACACATATTGTTATCGAGGCGCAAGGCGCAATGCAGGGCGCAAAGGCCCCTTACGCGCACCATGCGCAAGGCGTACAATTATGCGCGCGCCTCACTGAATTGAGACACACAACTCAAACTAATATTTGCCAACTTAAGACAAAGAAGCATATAAGCAACATGTTTATAAATTGTCACATAAAAAGACCAAGAAATATAATTTCATCGACTAAATCACGAAAGAGTCTTAATTATCATGCATAACATAAAGAAGTTCATAAGTTTCCACAAATCATAATGCAAGATAATCTCCAACATAAGTAAAAGTCTATGAAACAAAACAAGCAAGTAACAAATAAGAAATATAATGCAAGATAATCTCCAACATAAGTAAAAGTCTATGAAACAAAACAAGCAAGTAACAAATAAGAAATATGTATTTTCATTTAAAATATGATATATAAAGTCTATGAAACAAAACAAGCAAGTAACAAATAAGAAATATGTATTTTCATTTAAAATATGATATATATATATTTTTAAGTAACAATTAAGTGATTAAAAAAACATGATTGTTCATAATTTTCTAGTTAGCATTTTTAATTGCTATTTATTAGTTAGCATGAAAAGATGAAGAATGGAGGTAACAATTACATATTTACATGTTCATAATTTTCTAGTTAGTATGCTAATTAGAGAAGGAAGTTACAATTAGCAAACAAGTATACTAAATTACTAATTATTATTTCCTTTTTATAAGTTAAACATGAAAAGATGGAGAATGGATTAGCAACTAGCAAGAAAGAGTTTATTACATGATGTAAATATGTAATATGTAAATTATTTAAAAAAACAGAAGAAAACAAGGCGCGGGCGCCTCGTGTGCGTGCAGCGCCCCGCCTCTGGTGCGGGGCGCAATTGCCCTAGCCCGCAGCGCCCCGCGCCTGGGGCGCGCGCCTCAATAACACACACACACACACACATATATATATAAATTCTCTTCATATCTTGCATGGATCCCTAGGTATCATCAATGGATAGAAAGTTTGGTGGATGGTCTACTTAAGTTGACATAATGTTTTTTTTCTCTCTCTCTCTCTATATATATATATATATCAAGAATATATATATATATATATAATCTCTTTATATCTTGCATGGATCCCTAGGTATCATCAATGAATAGAAAGTTTGGTAGATAGTTCACTTAAGTTGACATAAGGTTTTCTCTCTCTCTCTCTCTCTATATATATATATATATATATATCACATTAGCTAAAAATTATGAGCTATCTTCAATCACGAAGCTTCACACATCATTCTATCATGTCATAAAAATCATCTATTATCGAATCAGTGCTAAATGTGCTTGCAATTTTCTTCTCAATATATGCTATCATGTAATCTGCAAGATAATCATTTTCTATCTTGTTGTTAAGTCTAGTTTTGACAATGTTCATGGCTAAAAATGATTGTTTAGAGGTTGCCGTTAAAACAGGAATAGCTAAAACCAAACGAAGCAACCTATCAACCAAATGATAGTTAGTGGACTTTCTAGTCTTCACCAATCTTTGACATAATTCAGAAAGTGTAGATAAATTATTAAACTCTATATGTTGAGGAATATCAAGCTCATGATGTTGTAATTGAATCTTCAATGTAACTTTCCTTGTTCTGTAAAGCCCTCAGGATGGAACCTATTTGCAAGATTGCAAATATCAATAATGTCGAAGATTTTAAAAATTTCTCTAGGATTTAATGCGGAGCTAAAAACAAGTAGCTCCATTGCTTTCTCATTGAACCTAGAATTCAACGATCGATTACCAAAATAATATTTCTACTCGATAATGATAATCATTAGTTTTTTCCTCTGAGTGAGCATAAGGTCGACCTTTTTGACAAGGGCCATTCATATCGGGAATCTCAATCTCATGTTCTTCACAAAATGATATGAATTCTTTTAGAATATTCCACCATCCGGAATCTTTTAACTTCTAAAGTAATTTCATTATTGTATAGACCAAATTCATTGCATTCAAAATGTCTTGCACTTTGCATTGCAGAGCTTGACAAAGATCATCTGCGATTCCTAAAAGCTCTCTCATAATATATAAAATGATAATAAATGTGAATGATCTATCAAGGAACCATCTGCATCACGACATTGAGAATATCTTCCGGTGCTTATGATATTTTTTAGAAATATACAAGTTGAATCAAGCAATGTCACCAAGCTACGAATAGAACTTGTCACACAAGATTAATGCTTGTAACCCATTCCACTCTCCACGCATGTTAGTAGCCCCATTATATTACTGACCTTGAATATCATGAACACTCAAATTATAATAAGAAAGCACACCGAGTATTTTATTTTTCAAAGTCAATGTGGAAGTATCCGAAACATGGATAATATAAAAAAATGCTCCTATATCAATCCATCTTTGTTCACGAATCTCAACACAATATACATTAGACATTTGTTCTTTCTTTGATTCATCTTGAGCTTCATCAATAAGGATACAAAATTGAAGTGGTCAATGCTTGCGACCTAGAGGAGTTGTTATTTTGGTCGAACGTGGAGAAAATAAACTAGCTTCTAGAAGGAAGCGCTGAAAAGAATTAATAACTTAAGAGCATATACTTCAATTGTGGACCCTACAAAATGATGAAAGTCTGTGGTTCTAACTTCTAATCTTAGGGAATATTAAACGGGCCTTTGGGTTTTTTGGCTTTTGATGGGTTATTATTCAGTAGGAATTTGTTTAATTGGTCTTTGCGGGTTATCATTGGCTATTATACATGATACCCTATTAAAATAATCAGAAAGTCTTTGGGGCCATTGGCCTGGGTAGCCCCCCTAAATTTATCCTTGATTTTGCTTACATCTTAAAGAAGTATGCTCATCAGGTATTCTTTGTAAAATCACAAAGGTCTGTTTAAATAGTTTAAATTAGAAAGTGGTTAAATGTTCTGATTTTTGGCTTTGAAAATATGAA